GGGCTGCAGGGTGATGCCTATGTCTGAAGATATGCCCTCAAACTTCCAGGCCTGGGGCAAAGTCCAAGTCACCATGAGAAGTAGTGATGATCAAAGCCTCTGCACTCCAGGATGGAGACACGAGTCACTCAGAGGATGCCCCACCACACTGACTCAGATCAGTGGTCTATTCCAGAATATCTTCTGAAAGAACATGTTTGCCCCACAGATATTTCAAAATGTTAAGCACCCTGATCTCCTTAATCATGTTTTCTAAAAGTGATATTCACTATTTTTTAAGAAATACCTTTATTTTATTTATTTATATGTGGTGCTGAGGATCAAACCCAGTGCTTCACACGTGCTGGGTGAGCACTCTGCCACTGAGCTACAACCTCAGTCCCCCACTGTTTAAATTTTTTAAATCCCAACCACTTTTATCTCCCATGTTACATGTATTCATTCAATTAATTAATCTATGGAGGCTTCACTGTGTTCCAGGCACTATACCAGGCACTAGGAACACATAAATTAACTGCAAAGAAATCTGCCTCCCAAGAATTTATTAGTTCAAAGAGGAACCATGTGAGAGAACCACTTGTTACCACATAGTTTGGTATTTAACAAATACCAACAGGTGTGATATTAACAGGTGTGTTAAAAGCACAGAGGAGCCCAGTAATTCATATTGGGGATCAGGAAGCTCTTCATGGAAGAGTTAACTGATGAACTGAATCTTGAAGATGATGGGGGTGTTATTTAGCTGAAGAATTTATTGAAATTACAACAAAAGAATACACTGAAACATGAAAAATCATGCACTTTGGGAAATTTCAAGTAGGTAGCCTAGAGAATGTTTATTACTATGTTACGGTTAGCCAAAGTAACAAGGCAGGCCCAATATGAAGTAACATTACCTTACTTATGTACATAGCTGCCCTTAATATAGATCTTGTTTGTGGGGACTACTGGCTTCATGTTCTCAGATACAAGAAAACTTATCTAAGTGAATTGAAGAAATTGTCTTTGGACTTCGTATCACCATTTCTCAGTCAATACAATCACAGTTAATACTTACACAGCAATGGAGGTAAAATTTGCTGTTGTAAGTTATGTTTTATTAAGTCAACTTAATTTGAGAGTAATCAGGTAAACATAGTAATGTAGATGAATGTATAGCCAATGTTGTTGTTCTGCTAAGAAAATTCCACTAGACTGTAGCTCTAGGTCAAATCCTGAATCAAATGAATACATTTCTTTTTTTTTTCAAGTAATTTTTAAATTTTAAAATAGTTTTTGATTTGGGGCAAGGGTTGTAACTCAGTGGTAGAGCACTTGCCTGGCATGCGTGAGGCCCTGGGTTTGATCCTAGAATAAAGGTATTGTGTCCAAATACAACTAAAAAATAAGTATTTTTTAAAACTATTTTTTTTTTAGTTGTAGATGGACACAATGTCTTTATTTTTATGTGGTGCTAAGGATTGAACTCAGAGCCTTGCACATGCTAGGTGAGCACTCTACCACTGAGCCACAATCCCAGCCCCCCAGAAATAGTTTTTGATTTAAGAAAGTTTGCAAAAATATTAGAATTCTTGAATACACCCACCTGGTTTTCCTTACTGTTGACACATTATTATGTCCATTTGTCACAATCATAAACCAACATTGACTTGTTATTATGGACCATAATGCTACTTTACTTACGCCCCAAGTTTTACTTACTACCCTCTCTTCATTCCAGAACACTCCATTCCATTTAGATGACAGGCCTCCTTAGGCTCCTCTGTACTGTGCTCAAAACTGCCTTGTTTTTGATGACCTTGACAGTTTTGAGGTGGTCAGGAAGTCTGTAGAATTTTCCTCAACTTGAGATTGTTGGTACTTTTCTCATGGTTAAGCTGGGCTATGGTTGAGGGGTGAGTGCCACAGAGGTAAGGGACCTTCCCGTCCTATCACATCCAGGGTACCTATGGTCAGTATGGCTTATGGCTGTCGATGTTGACCTTGGTCACCTGCTAAAGTGGTACTTGTTGAATTTTTCCACTGCAGTCACTCTCCCCCCTTTCGATGCTGTAAATTCTGAAAGGAAGTCGCTCTATACCACCCATTTAGGCAGTCGTGCTCCGTCTCCTTGAGAAGAGAGTGTCTGTATGAATTATTTGGAATTCTTTTGTAGAGGAGAGTTGTCTGTTCCATCTCATTTATTAATTTATTCAATCATCTATTTATATCACTATGGACTTGTGATTTTTTATGTCTTATGTTCTAATAGTAGGTTACTTATTTTATTGCTGAAATTTGTACACTATTTGATGGCTCCTGTGTCCCCTTGACATATGCTTATTCAGAGAGCACTTCCTTACTCTCTGGCATTACAAGAATGCATTTTTATTTGGTAACCAGATTTAATATAATTAGAGAATTTTTATATAAATATATATACACATATACATGATCTTAATATAAAGAGCAAAATATATAAGTAGAATATATAAATAGAATATTAGCACATATTCATCAATACTAAAGCTTTGCATCTTGAGTTGTTTTGAGTGCAATATCCTATTCACATCTTGCATTCAGCTTGGTTTAGAAATCAAGCAATGATTTTTTTGGTAACCTTACATATTATATGTAGAATGAGAGAAATAAATCAATTTAAAAATACACACTTTAAAGAGGAAACTGGGGTGTTATTAGTGATAATTAGGGGATTATTAATTCAATACATTTACATCCTAAAAGAGGCAAGTTTATATTATAAAAGGAGAACATTTAAGAAGCAAGAGACCTTCAATTTACCTTTTAAAAATAACTTTATTTATTTAATTTAATGTGCTGTTGAGAATGGAACCCAGGGCCTCATTCACCTAAGACAGCATTCCACCACTGAGCCACAACCACAGCCTTCAATTTACTTGTTTTTTTTTTTTTTTTGGGGGGGGGGGGGGGGGACAGGGGATTGAACTCAGGGTCACTCAACCACTGAGCCACACCCCCAGCCCTATTTTGTATTTTATTTAGAGACAGGCTCTCACTGAGTTGCTTAGTGTCTTACTGTTGCTGGGCTGGTTTTGAACTCGTGATCCTCCTGTCTCAGCCTCCCTAGCCACTGGATTATAGGCATGTACCACTGTGCCCAGCTTCAATTTACTTTTGAACAAGAGTAATCTGTAGATTAAAAAATTCTAGATCTGGGGCTGGGGCTGGGGCTCAGTGGTAATGCACTTGCCTGGCATGTGTGAGGCACTGGGTTTGATTCTCAGCACTGTGTATAAATAAATAAAATAAAGGTATATCAATAACTAATAAAAGATTTTAAAAACACTAGGTCTACTTTAATAGATAACAAATCCCCTAAATCCTAAGGATTAGAGAAGGAAAAGACCTAATACCAACTTTCAGTTCTCTAGTTCAGGAAAAGTAAATTTGGTGAAATGATAGGCAGCTGTCCAAATAGTTATGTGATTAAGGAGTTTTAACTCTCAAATTTCTAATTCTCTTAGTGTATTTATATTAGTTGGATGTGCTTTTACTTGTTCAAATTTATCCTGTAGTTAAGAAATTGGCAGCAATCCAAACTTAAAACCGTTGCACAGCAGCTATTTGTGACTATACCCTTGACTGGTACTTCCAGTACCTTTCCCCATTGGAGTTCAGGGTGCTAGACAGTGACAATTTCTCATGAAACAAGAATAGCAAAACTTCAGCAGATGAGAAGACAGAATCAGCGGCAGCACTGGGATGTAAACCCAAGTTCCTGCTTTCTATTTCTTTGCTCTGTTTTTCAGAACTACATAAGAAAAAGTGGTATTAGAATATTCCTACATTTTAGACAAAACCTCTTTGAATTCTTACTACTAGATTCTACCTGAAGAAATGGGAGAAAGAGTAAGAGGAGACAAAACACATTACACTTGTAGACTTCACTACAGTAGTTGGCAGCTACTTATTTCCTAAACTAAACATCTGATTAGATCCAATCTAGGAACTAAGAGATCAAAAAAGATAGGACAGCTGCTTTAAAAAAATCCCAGTTTTCTCAACCAAGTAGAACCCATGGGTAGATGTTACATTATTAAAACAACCTATGAGCTTAGAAAATCGAAAGTAATTTCTTTATTAAGAAAATAAAGATACGTTGCTTAGGGTAAGGAGCAAAAATGACCAGTTATTAGGATAGTGAGTAAAAAAAGATGTCTTATGTATCTGTATGTCTATCACAGAGAAACGACTATTTCTCTTCTCTCTCAGAAAATGTATAGTTTTAATATTAAAAACAAAAATTGAGCTTTTTAAATAGAAAATCAAATCCTATCAGAAGAATTACATGAAGTCAGTCATTTTTAAAAACTGTTTTAGTTGTAGGTGGACCCGAGACCTTTATTTATTTATTTTTATGTGGTGCTGAGGATTGCACCCAGTGCCTCACACGTGCCAGGCGAGCGCTGTTCCACTGAGCCACAACCCCAGCCTGAAGTCAGCCATATTTTCAGATGCTGATTTAGAATCCCCACCATAATATCTGATGGTCAACAAGGCCACATGTCTGCTAAGGACATCATATAAAGATGAGTAAAGAGTGCCTGAGCTCACAGTCCAGGAATTACTAGAAGGAAAGAGTGACAGATTACAAGAGGAAGGAGCATGAACCAACTCAGATGAGAAGTCAGGATTTCATTGTAGGAAAAGGAGAAACGAGGATCAATGCTTCTGAAAGAGAAATAAAGGTAGCTTTCTGAGCAACAGGGGAGTGAGAGTGCTCAGTTTTGTTATGTCTGGAAGCCAGGGCACGGACAATGGGACGTCTAAAAATAAGCCATGATCACCGCAAAGAGAATGACGGCCAGCATGAGCCTGCCCACGGTCACTACTGAAGCTGCGGAATCACTCTTCTCCGTCACCCTGGTCTTCATGGGCTTCCTGATACGGTCATCTGTGGAAAGGATGGTTTTTCGAGCCCCATCCCACTTTCCAGGGCCCTGTAGACGAAATTGGGCTGGAGTACAAGGTCCCCAAAGTAACTGTGATGCTAGCTTGGGGTCACTGAAGGCCAGAGACAGCAGACTGGGCCTGACTCCCACCAGGTCAGCCATCTCTTCCATGCTGTCAATGTAGTCTCCCTGAATGGTCTGGCGTTGGCTTTCCACGTACCTAAATCAGAGAAGACAGAAGCCATGGCCTATCAAAAAGGCGATTAACTAGTCGATCGATCAACATACATATTGTACTGATTTTATACTGGGCACATGGTACTGATTTAAAAAAAATTTTTTTAGTTATTGATGAACCTTTATTCATTTATTTATATGTGGTGCTGAGATTTGAACCCAGTGCCTCATACATGCTTGGCAAGTGCTGTACCACTGAGCCACAGCCTCAGCTTGTATTGATTTTAAATTAGGCTACAAACTGTAGTAAATAGTGAAAAAAGATATTTGTCACCATTCTTAGAGATCTGATAATACACCAGAAGAGAGAAGATGGTTGTATACGTAACAGAACATACAAGGGTTTTGCTAAATATTGTGGGTTTGACTGTTAAATAGAAATTTTAGAAAGGGTAGTTAAAAGAGGGCTATAGGGCTGGTGATGTGGCTCAAGCGGTAGCGCACTCGCCTGGCATGCGTGCGGCCCGGGTTCGATCCTCAGCACCACATACCAACAAAGATGTTGTGTCTGCCGAAAACTAAAAAAAATAAATAAATATTTTTAAAAAATTCTAGAAAAAAAGAGGGCTATAATAGGTCATTGAAGATTTGAAAGATATAGATAAGAACAAAGAAAAAGTATTAAAAATCAGGGAACACAGCCAAGTGAAGGAATAAAGCAGGAATGGGCATAAACGTCTGTGGTCGTTGCCTAAGTCAGTAGAGAACAAGAATGGACGACAGCACTCCAGACACAGAGGACTCTGACGAGAAAGAGGGAATTCACCCCAAATCCTCAAGCATGGGATTCTCTATTTTGTGAGGCCAGGGTAGTGAGATGGGTAGGGGGTGTCCACAGATCAGGGCTTCCCAGCGAAAATGTTAATTTGGAACCCTGAAAGGACCAGGGAGGGTGACTTATCTCACAAGAAGAAGTGGCCCTCCCAGGGAGCCAGATGGAGTGATTATACCAAGCGCAGGTTTGGAGAGCTAAAAAGACTTCTTAGTGAAAAAATAGTTGACAGTAAAGTATGTGGAAGAAGTGTGACTTGGAGACTTTCACTTTTTATTTTCTATAATGAAAAGAAAGAACAATGGAACACAAAGCAAATAAGAGGAAAGTCTTTAAGCTAATTGAGGAATCCAAAAACGAAGACAGGAAACAAGGATTAGAAAATGAATTTTTGGTAGAATTCTTGAGGTGGAATTCTGGAGGAACTGACAGGTGGTCAAGCAGTACCTTATCAAAATAGGGCTGGGATTTTGAGGAGATGAAACAGGAAAGAACCTGAGAGCTCTCCTTCCTGGAGATGATATTAACTCAGGCGTCGGCACACGTGCATTTACTCATCTTATAATAGTAGGTCAAGAAGTGGAGTTTTCATGAGGTTTCACGGCCTGTGGGGTGGTTAAGAGAATTAAATGAACCCCAATGCCCATGAAATGCTGAATGTGAGCAAACTGTCAACCCTCAGTGAAGTTCAGACTATGTCCTGGGGGACTGCTCACAATCAGAAGGTGGTCGCACAAGCTTGAGTGAAAAGAAAGAGAGCAGGAAAGTCCACATAAGAGAGTTTGGTGCCAGAAAAGAGGGGAAAGAAAGCCTCCAGGAAGGGAAGATGCTTAGAGGTGCCAGCTCAGGAGTGAGAGCAAGGCGCCTGGTCATGGATGCCCTTCAGGGGAACCATGTGGGGAGTGAGGAGGAAGTCGGGGACACTCGGACTCGGGGAAGCAGAGGAGAGGCCCGGGGCAGAGGACGCAGGAACTTTCCACAGACGTGCAGCAATGACAGGGGAGGAAAACAGGAGAGCACTGGTAAGGACGGGAAGATGGAATGAAAGTCACCTTCTCTCCTCCAAGATAGGCCAGAGCCATGCTGTACAGTCAGTGGCAGAAACCACCATTTTGGGCCTGCAACAATCAATTTCCACATAAAAACAACCTGGGATTTGAGCTCAAGTTCTGAGATCCAGACTGCCACATCATTGTGTCCACAGAAGCCAAGCAGCCAGGTGCTGTCACTGCTTTACCAGATCACAGGGGGTTTGCACGCTCAGCCCTGTGACCTGCGTGTGCTGTCCACCTGATGGCAGCCAGCGAAGCAGCCACGTCAGGTCTGTAAGTCTACTTAGAACTTGAAATCACCGTTGATTCACCACACCCTTCCTTCCTTTGGCAGCTCTGTTAATACTTCAAGTAACCCTCCCCCAAATGATACACCTGATGGTTTTCTCAAGGAGCTTTTTCCTAACTTTTAAGTCCTAAACATAGCCTTTATACCGCCTTTATACACTTCCTTGAGTTTTCTCTCCTTTCCCATCCACATTACACTGCTAGTGCTATTTCCCCATTCTGTTGTCACAACTATCATTCCCCTCTTATCACAATATAATCAGAATTCTCAAATTAACAAGATGAAACTAAATGTAGTAGAATATTGTTCTTATTAAGAATAAGTAGAAAAAGTTACATACATCTTCTTGGGAGAATTTCTTACCTTTTTGCCATTTCCTCTTGAGTCTTAGATATATCTGCCATCATTTCACTTTGTGAGGGCAATTTCTTTAGCCCTAAAGAGAAAAATTTTAAATTTAAGTGTAAATTACCTCAATAGAAACAATGATCCTATTAACAATTACTGTGCTATGGAGAATTCAAAGAAATATAGGATGATTCTCTATACTCAAAGAGATTACAGTTTGCTTGATCACTTGATCTTGCCATGACCAAAATATAATAAGTTGAGCATACCTCATCACAAAAACAGAAATCTTAAAAGCTCCAAAACCCAACACTCTTTGAACATGGACAAAATGCCCCAAGTAGAAAATTCTACACATGACCTCATGATAGGTCATGTCAAAACACAGGCACAATGTTATTGTATAAAATTACCCTCTGGCTATATTGTGTACGGTGTATATGAAAACTAAGTGAATTTCCTTTTTAGACTTGGGCTTCATCTCCAAGATAGGTCATTACGTATATGCAGATATTCCAAAAATCTGGAAATATATTAAGTTCAAAATAGCTCTGGTCCTAAGGAGTATTCACCGGTATCAGTACGTGTAGTTTATTCTGCTTTGTCTTTGGAACATATTTACTGTACTCTGCCTTCCAACAAATACCTGCCTCCTCCCTAACATAGTCTTTGAATTGGCAAATTAAATTTGGACACAAGGAAATGACAAATGGCCTTAAAAGCAAATGAAAAATGAGGTACAAGGTCAAAAGGCAACTCAGGTGTAGTGATGCATGCCTGTAATTCCAGCACTTGGGAGGCTGAAATTGGAGGATAACTTGGATCTAAAAGTTCAATCAGCTTGAGTGATATAGTAAAACCCCATCTCATAAAAGGGAGGGGTGTAGAGGAACACCTGCACAGGTATCTTAATAACAAAAGTATTTTATACGAGAGAATAAAGGGAGTAAACATAAACCCTAATCACATTTTATGCTAAAATCCTATGGAAAATAACCTTCACCTTATTACCTCTTTTATTTGATAAGAGTTTGTATGTGTCTGTGTGTGTGTGGGGGGGGTAAGACCAAAGGAACTCATATACCCAATCTTGACAAATAAAATTTAAGCATTAATATAAAAACAGTTCCTGTACTATGATTTAAAACCAAGGACATGACTAGACAAAGGCAGAATCACATTTAAGTCCATATAAACAACTCTAGCTCAAACAATTAGCCTTTTGCCCAGATATATAGCCTTATGCCCAACCAGATATGTAGGCACTGTGCCATGTACAAAATTGAGCCACAATCCTAAAATGTTACTCTATAAAGTTCTGGAATATAGAATTTCAGAATGGGAATGTGTCTTAGTACAATCCTTCTCTCTACAATACAATATCAAGTGGTCATCTCATTCTTCCTTAAAAGTATCTGGCCTTGCAGCTATTATGAAGACAAACACAATAAGTGTTGGCAAGGATGTGGGAGAAAAGGCATACTCATACACTGCTGGTGGACTGCAAATTGGTGCAGCCAGTATAGAAAGCAGTATGAAATTCCTTGGAAAACTTGGAATGGAACCACCATTTGACCCAGCTATCCCACTCCTCATTTTATACTCAAAGGACTTAAAAAAAGCATACTACAGGGACATAACCACATCGATGTTTATAGCAGCACAATTCACAATAGCTAAACTGTGGAGCCAACCTAGATGACCTTCAGTGAATGAATGGATTAAAAAATGTGGCATATACACACAATGGAATATTACTCAGCAATGAAAGAGAATAAAATTATGGCATTTGCAGGTAAATGGATGCAATTGGAGAAGATAATGCTAAGTGAAGTTAGCCAATCCCAAAAACACAAATGCCAAATGTTTTCTCTGATATAAGGAGGCTGATTCATAGTGGGGTAGGGAGAGGGAGCATGGGAGGAACAGAGGAACTCTTGACAGGGCAGAGGGGTGGGAGGGGAAGGGAGGGGACAGGGGATTAGCAAGGACAGTGGAATGTGATAGACATCATTATCCAAAGTACATGTATGAAGACATGAATTGCTGTGAACATACTTTATATACAGAGATATGAAATATTGTTCTATATGTGTAATAAGAATTGTGATGCATTCCGCTGTCATGTATTTTAAAAATAGAAGCAATTAAAAAGAAAAAGAAAAAAAGATCTCTGGACTTAGAGATCTCACTACCTGCTAAGGAGATGATATAACAGACTGATGTGGTTGCTGGGACATTATTTTTTGAACTGACCCCCAAATATACTTCTATGCAACTTTTATCATTGGAACTAGTTCTTCCTTCTGGAGCCACACAACTAAATTTTGATACTTGACAGGACTTAAAATGTGAAAGCACCTGTCATGACTACTTTAAGTCTTCTCATTAGCAGGCTGAACAGCACGGGGTCCTACTATAACAGGTGTCATGTTCTCTGCCATTCTGGTGGCCCTTTTCTGGGCACACCTGATACGCCTCTGAAACACAGAAGTCAGAAATTCAACACTCAGAGCCTACTATGTTTTTTTTAATGTGTTTTCTTAATTTATGGGAATTATTTTTTTTTAATATTTATTTATTTATTTAAATTCTCGGCGGACACAACATCTTTGTTTGTATGTGGTGCTGAGGATCGAACCCGGGCCGCACGCATGCCAGGCGAGCGCACTACCGCTTGAGCCACATCCCCAGCCCCAATTTATGGGAATTATGACTTACAAATCAACAAGGAAGCATGGGAATGTTTCCTTTGAAATTAATCACAGGTCTTTAGGATGCTCAAGAAGTACATTTGAGAGCTGATTTCCAATGACTTCTTACAGGGTACAGCCACAAGTTTGCAGTTATCAGCTGAAACTGCATGGAGAAGGAGGAGGCGGAGGTCTGTTTCTTGGTGGTGAGAGGCAGTCAGTTCATGAACTATTAAATTTGATGGGCAGATAAAGATATTTACAACATTCTGTGATGAAGTTCTCTTTGAATTTATCAACTTTCAGTGTTACCTTGTTTAGACACAGATTGTATCATATTTCTTATCTCCCTCCTTCAAATCATGCTCCCTTTATATGGACCAAAAAAAAAGTCTGTTTTTTTTTTTTTAAAAAAATGTTAAGCTGATATTATGCAACCTTCAAGATTCCATTCCTTGGTTCTAGTTTGACTCTTTGCTCTAATAAGTAAGTCTGATTCTTACCCCATAGGTATCCCTTCAACTATCTGAAGGGACTCTTAGATCCCCCAGGTCTTAACTTCTTTACCCTGAACTTCTCCAGCAACTTCATTTGTATTTCACATGATATGCTCTCACGTTCCTCACACCATGTTCTCCCTCCTTATTCAGTGGATTCCAGGTTCACTCTATGATGTCTTTAGGTGGTAGTCTGACCATTTAGAGAACTGTCACGAGGTTCTGAAACGTGCTAGATTGAATGAAGCCTTTTGGAACCCTCCTCACCCGCTGGTTCCTACTGAGCCTACCATCCCAAAGCTCAGAGTTGTTTTCCCTCAGGTACTCCTGGCCAGAACTCAAAGGGGGGACACGCAGGGACGCGGGGTAGTGGGGATGTGAGGATTTGAAAGTTGAATATTTTATATTCTGGATTATCTCCTACCGGGTGTTAACTTATTGTATGAATTAAGTCGCACCATTTCTATATTTGACATTCTCTGTAATGAAAGATGAGATTCTTTTACTTCACAAATACATACCAGTTGTCTAAAATTCAGATGAGTGGATTCTAATCTGAAGTACACATTGGAATCTTCTGGGGAACAACTTTGTGCCTGCCCCTCCCAGATTTACTGAATAAGAATCACCATGGATGAGATCAAAGCATGCCTAAGCTGGGGAAACACCCAGGTGATTCTAAGGTAGGTCTATGGTTATAATTACTACTTAGGTTCACTTAAAAATAAGTTTTCTGTACTAAGTTTGTGCCAGATATTATGCAACCCTCAAGATTTTGGTCAAACATACTGCTATTTAAAAGCAAGCACAGAAACATAGTCAATCATCACCAAGTAATTAAGGAGTGAATTTTTATTGTCACTTACCTTTAAATACTTGAGTGGCCCAGCGTCCGGAGCTCTGCAATCGGCATAATGGCTCCTAAGGGCTGAATCAAGCCTATGATTGCAAGAGTTGGCTTTTCTAGGTGGGAGGGAAGACCTTTTTATATAGGGATATCTTATTTTTGACCACTTTGATAGAATCTTCCAGAAAAGGAAAGGCGAAGCTGTAGCCCGTGGCAAAGATGACAGCATCAATGTCATCCTCCCTAGAGCCATCCTCAAATACGGCAGCTGTCTCTGAGAATTCCTTCACGTTTCCCTTCACCTTCACCAAGCCAGAGATGATGCGATTGGGCAGATCGTCATTTACTGTTGGATGCTGGCTCAGAGCTCTGTGAGTGGCATGAAGATGAAGAGAAGGAGAAATGAGAGGGACCGAGAGAGGGAAAGAAGGGGAGAGAGAAAGAAACCCTGTAAGTAAATTTTTGCTTTGGTGGAGGTGGTTAAACAATAATACGTCAACGGTGTCCCCTCAGTTTACCCATGAAATTTGGAAAGTCCCACTTTACACCAGTTTTACTTTATATCAGCTTTTCAGGGCTCAAGGCTGAACGGGCTGGACCCTGAAAGTCACTGAAGGGGAAGGTATTGGAGAAGTGAAGGATAAGAGTTTTTTGGAGGAGTGCATATGTGGTTGTTCATGTGACAGTAATGCTCCGTGGTGTCACAAGGCCACAGGCCAGTCGTTCCTGTCCACATATCAATCAGTCTGACAAAACTTGACTATTAATGTCCTGATCCATTTCTAATTCCAAAGAGGTAGACTTAGACTTTCATTTTCCAAACTGTGGAATAAATTACACATGTACAGCAAGTTAGAGTTCAGATTACATTTCCATGCGTTAAGTTATTTGGCAGTCACATAAACTCTATGGAGGGTAGGTGTCATTATCCAGGTTGTATAGATGAAGAAACTGAGGTCTAGAGAAGTTAAGTGACTTGACCAATGTTCTACAGCCTAGGACTTTAGAATTTCTGTAAAAATAGTTTTCTATACTCTTTTGGGATACTTTGGACCTAGAGACAGCATGGAATAAGGGTATCAGAATAAATAAGCCAGGTTTCCAGTATCCTGGGTCTGTAAAAAACAAGTCTTGATTCCTGAGCCTCGGGTCAGCAGGCGCCGAGACCCCTCTCCCCACGTCTTCCTGGCCTAGCCTCAGGAGTGTCATGTGTCTTACGACGACACCCGACGACACCCGAGCTGTGGAAGTCAATGTGCTTGGATTCGAACCTTCAGGAAGACGGTGTTCTGCATTCCAGCCTCAGGGCTTCATCTGTCTCTCTAACACTGCTTTTCACTAGCGCGCCACCATCCACACAGTTGCCTAAGCCACAGAACTGTCTCCTGCCTGCTCACCAAGCCTGCGTTCTTCCTCCCTTAAAAAGGAAGATTGCCTAGAATAGTTCTGCCTACTAACTGTCTCACCTGAACTACACAGTTGTCTTCAGGGCTCCCCCATCTCCCCTCTATACCATTTGCCTTAGAATCAGAAGGGCAAATAAACATGATTTTAGGATCCTTGATTTAGAAAAGAAAAAAAAAGGTATAAAGAATATTGTTGGGTCATGTGCAGTGACACATGCCTGGTCATTCTAAAATAGATTTATTATAGACTTATTATTACATCACTCGCTTGCTTAAATTTAAGACGTCATTCACTTGAATGGATCTGCTGTCTTCATTCCAAACTTTTTTGTGTTTCCCCTGCCAGGGCTGAGGGCAGAACTCAGGGCCTCGTGCATTCTAGGCAAGCACTCTGCCACCGAGCTAAATCCTCAGCCCCCTATACTTTTTATTTAGAAGAGCATACAAAAGGTTTAATGCCTGATAGACCTAGAGATGTATTCAACTACTCTTCTAGCTTTGCCATATAGTCTAGGTATACCAGGCTATGTGCAGGTCTCGGGGCATAATGTGCCTTTTGCTATTCTAACATATTACAATTAGAATGCTACATGCTGACCCGATTTGACTACCTTTTATTGTTCAATAAAACCTCAATTTGTTTTGCAACTACAAAACATATTCATGCTTAAATAATTGAATGAAAAGTTGTTGGGGAACACTGTGTCCAAGTACCATCCCACTGATTAATTTCAAGGGGAAAACTATCTTTGTACTGGAGAAACCTGGTGCATGCCACTTTTTACACACAATCAAATTTAGCATCATTAATATGAAATAAACTGACATCATGTGGGTCCTGACGGGATTCTCCAAGAAGATAACATCCCTTAATGTAGTATATATGCCAAGATACAATGCAACTCAAAATTTAGAGATAGTCTACAAAAACCATGCCTTAGAAAGAAGAAAGAGGAGGAGGAAGAGGAAATAGGAAGAGGAGAGGAGGAGGAAGAAAGGAGGAAGAAGAGGAGAAGGAGAATAAAAGTCCATGTTAAAAAAAAATGAATGGCCAGGCATGGTGGTGCATGTCTATAATCCCAGTGACTCTAGAGGCTGAGGCAGAAGGACCACAAGTTAGAGGACAGCCTCAGCAACTGACTGAGACCTGTCTCAAAATAAAAAAATTAAAAGAATTAGGGATGTAGCTGAATAGTAAAGCACTCCTGGGTTCAATTCCTAGTATGCAAAAAAAAAAAAAAGGGAATAGAGAATTAGTATTTCAGATTAAAAAAGACATGACAACTAATGAAATGATGTGATTAACATTTTTTAGAATAGAAAAAAACTTATTATAAAGAAGATTATTAGGTTGGTTGCAGTGATGTATACCTGTAATCCCTTGGGAGGCTGAGACAGGAGGATTTCAAGATCTAGGCCAGCCTCAGCAATTTAGCAAGGCCTTAAGCAACTTAGTGAGACCCTGTATCAAAATAAAAAATAAAAAGGGCTGGGAAAAACTCAGTGATAAAGTGACCCTGGGTTCAATACCCAGTACCAAAATTTAAAAAGAAAATATTATTGGGATATCTGTAGAAATTTGAATATGCCAACATTTTAGAAAATTATTTTATCAATGTTAAATTTCCCAAATGTGATCATTGTATTATGGCATGTAGGGGAATACCCTTTTTCCTGGGTATGTTTTAATGATTTTTACTTACTTTCAGAAAAAAGATATGTCCTTAAGTATGTGTATATACTACATATTGTTTGGATCTATCTTCCATGAGGGAAGAGATAAAAAGCAAATATAGCAAACTCTATGTCAGGAGAATCTAGGTAAAAGATATGACTTTTCTGTAGACGTGAACATTTTCAAAAATAAAAGGCTGGAGAGAAAAGTCACGTAGAGTCAGTACACAGGAGGCTTTCACATGCCCTCCTCTGTCAGAGAGCCCACCCTCTGCTCCCACTGCATCCCGTGCATCTCTCTGTCATGTCCTCTTGTCTGTCTTCCCATTTGTATATTCAAGGTAAGACCCAATTCTGAAGTCTTCCATCTGTTACTCATGTTGATCTTGGGCAAATGACTTAGTTTCTCTAAGTTTTGATTTTTTATGTCTGTAAAATGGATATAAAAATGGCATCAACCCATAGGGCCGTTTGGGGGATTAAATGAGATTACACACACACACACACACACACACACACACACACTCATTACTGTGCTTAACTTTAAAATGTCTTTGAAAAAGGCAAGGTATTATTTTTATTATTATGTCTTTCTCTCTGTATTTCATGCCCAATATAATGCCTTGCTCACAACAAACAGGTGCCCCATGTTTGTTGACTGACTGAATGAGGCACTGCCCTCTACTACCTTTTTATTGTTGTTGGGCACCATATAAAAAAAAAAACTGACACCTCACAGAATAAGGAAATGGCTGATGCCAATGAGAATGAGTCACACAAACTTTAGACCAGCAGGTCTTGGTCTTCTGTGGTTGATAAGGTAAAGTGGCATTTCAGATTCCCTGGTTTCCTTAATGTCTGGGTGGAGGTAGCTGTCAGCCTGAGTGAACAGTCCTTGGGCCTTGGCCTTGACCACCCCATTCCCATCTGAGCACATACCTGTGTTTAGGCTTCAGGCCAAACATTTCATGATCAAATCTTTGATTCAGACGTTTTTCCAAATATGCATTTGTGAATGCTTGACCGCATATCTTTGATAAACGATGCTGAAGTCGAGAAAGGTGTGCCACATCAAAAGGATATCCATGGTCCGCTACGCGATTCAGGATCCACGCGCCTCTCCTGGTGCTGAGGAACAGCTAAGGCGTGGGAAACATCGTTTCCTGTTGTCATTCTCGCTCACACTCGGAAGCACGCTCACTTTCTTCACCATTAAGTTCATACTCACTAGTGTGGCACTTTAGTTCTGTACAATCTTTTTAAAATTTTCCTTCCCCAACACTGTCCTAGAACATGTCCTGCTGCTGTCCAGCACTACACTTCTGTTCACAGCCAATGCGCCCATTCGTGTGTAAGATCCAGATCAAGCCCACGTCCTCCATGAGAACCACACAGGAAACACTGACCTTTCAGGTTGGTAATTCTCTCTCCCTCCCTAGCACTTACCACCTACGGACTCATTAAAAATCATGAATAGGGGCTGGGGCTGTGGCTCAGTGGCAGAGCACTTGCCTGGCATGTGTGAGGCACTGGGTTTGATTCTCTGCACCACAAACAAATAAAGTAAAGGTCCATTGACAACTAAATATATATATATATATGTCATTCCATAGACCAGGTGCGGCGGCGTACACCTTCGATCCCAGTGGCTCAGGAGGCTGAGGCAGGAGGATGGTGAGTTCAAAGGTAGCCTCAGCAACTTAGGGAGGCCCTAAGCAACTCAGCCAGACCCTGTCTCTAAATAAAATAATAAAAGCTGGGAGGCTGGGTTGTAGCTCAGTGGTATAGCAATTGCCTTGCACATGTGAGGTACTGGGTTTGATCCTCAGCACCACATAAAAATAAATAAAGTAAAAAGATATTGTGTCCATCTTTAAAAAAAAGGGGGGGGGGGGTGCTGGGGATGTGGCTCAGTGGTTAAGTGCCCCTGGGTTTGTGACAGTCAAGCCCAAGTGGCTCCAGTTTGTAAAACCACCATGCCAAGTAGAAAGGTCATGCCGGGCACAAGATGTTCTTTAACTTTCGCTATAGAAACCCTTAAGAACACGGAACCACCTAATGGGGCTTTACTTCTGTAACTGGGGTGGCCTGACTGCACTCTCCCATTTCTGTAACCTGGCTGGCTTTCATTGGCTGGATCCCCAAACATCCCTGGTGCAGTTTTCAGGCTTATAAGGAGTGCCCCTGCAATTGTCTGGGGCTGATCAGGGGAACAGCTTTATGTTCGGTCAGTTGCCACTGGTGTGCTTCAATAAAGGCTTGATTCAATTATACGTGAGTGGTCTGGAAGTCAGTTTACGAAACCCTGGGACGAAGCTTTAACTATAACAATATGTGCATGTACAACTATGGATCCCCTATACAGTATGATTATAATGCACCCATTATGAAAGACCAAAGGTTGTATCTATTTTAACTGTAACAGGTTCAATCCCCAGTACCCTCACCCCCCAAAAATCATGTAATGATAAAACTGAAAACAACTGGAGATCATTTAACCCAAAACTCCAGTCTTTTTGTCTTTGACATTGTTGCATTATTATGAACTATGATTTACCATTTATATCATTTATATGATGTGAAACTTTCTGTGCTCATAATCTGTCTCTCCAGTTATGTCCAATGGTGTTCTCCACAGTGGGAGGGTTAGCCTGCACCTCTCTCAGTCTCCCCAGCACATCATCATTACTTTCCTTTACTGAGACTTATGACCTGTAATTCCGTATACTAAGTCCTTTGTATTCTTTTTTCTGAGGAGCTGGGGATCAAACTCAGGCCGAATACATGCTTGGCAAAGGCACTACCACTGAGCTACATCCTTAGCCCTTTTTAAAAAAAAAAAAAAATTCTTATTTTACTTTGATATAGGGTCTCTCTAAGTTGTTCAGGTTGGCCTCAAATTTGCAAACCTCCTGCCTTAGCTTCTTGAGTAGCTGAAATTACAGGCATGAGACACTAACCATTTTACAATGTTAACACAACAACCCCTTGAGGAAGCCAATATCATCCTCATTTTATGGGTGAGGGACATCGGGAAGATGAAAAATTTGCCGAAGATCATATAGCTATTAACAGGCAAACTGACATTTCAATGTACATCTGACCAATTCTAAATCCTGTTAAGAGATGTTCTATTGATTATTGAATAGGAGAAAATAAAGATTGCTAGTAGAACTACAGGAGATTGCTCAGTACTTCTTTGTTCTTTCCTGGCTAAACGTACATGTTCAGAATGGATTAAGGCTTATATTCAGTTACCTGGCAGAGGTATCAGGACATTTTCAACTTTACACAACCCCGGAAGAAGTTTCTGGTAAATAAATTTTTACGGTAAATAAGTATATTGTTTCATAGTCTTTATCTAAGCTCTCATGTAAAAAGACGCCTGTCTACAAAGTATGATTCTTTACTTCGCACATATATCCTCACAGAGAGGAACCTTCAGCACTATCAGAGTTGGGTGCTTTTACGTGTCACAGCTGAAGTACCTGCATGGTCTTGGGGTTCACATGATTTAGGGTAAAGCTTATAGCCTTAGTTAAAAGTTTCCCTATCGATGAGATAGTTACAACACATCCATCCCAAGACTGCTGTGATAATTTTTATAGAAAAGTGTGGCATACCATAAACACTGAATAAATGCTTAATGGCTGTCATATTTATTTTAGCTTTTCCATCAATGCCTCATGCATACTAGGCAAGCACTCTACCACTTATTTTAAGCAAACAATATATTTATAAATCTGGTTTATAAGAAAAACATAAGGAAAATGGTTAAGTCAATATAATCGTGTATGAAATTAACCTGATGAGAAAGGGATGCTTTCACAAAATCATCATACCACAAGGATTATACCAAAATTCCCTTATGCACTGAAATTAATAGATCCACTTGCAAATTTTGACTCCAAAATTTTCTCTTAAACACATTTTAATACGTAAAGCAAAAAGCTAGAACTCAGCAATTAAATTTCTTCAGTTTGCATTAGTGCTGTGAGGGTTGCCCCCGCTATGCAGATGTGATTTTGCTATGTTTTCCCAGGGCTTTCTCACAAACATGGCTGCCTTAGCTCCACACCCTGAATATTTTGTTCCTGGGAAATTTTAATTCCATAATGCAGGTTAGATCAGCTCCCTTAGAAATGACCACTTGACAAGCCAAGATATGAAAGAAGACTTTTGCATGGATCCCCACTACCTACACGGTACATCCTTCAACCACGTGTGTTTTTTACTCTTTCTTGTTTATATAATTACTTCCTAATAAGTGTTTGTGGAATTAATTCATGGAATAACATATGAGATCACTTATATATTGATAGATGAAAATAGTACTGAGAGGTTATTGGAAACACGTTGCTGGATAAGGGTCATTTAACAAAATTGTGTCATTAAGCCTCTGGGTTTTTTAAAAATATATTTTTAGTTGTAGATGGACACAATACCTTTATTTTATTTGTTTATTTGTATGTGGTGCCTTATGCATGCTAGGCAAGTGCTCTACCACTGAGCACAACCCCATAGTATTAGAGAAGCATAGCATAATTAAAGTTGCTGAAGAACAACCAGGCATTTACCTATTGCTAATAAAGTTATGATTCAATGAAGACAAAAAAATGTAATAATGACATGCCTTTTTCTAGGATTTTACAGTGAAGACACTTTCTTCAACGCTCAAAATCTATGATACAGAAACCAAAACAAACAAAACAAAAAACCAAGGAGATAGAACTTGATTTGGAGTAACTCTCCTTCTGTGCTACCTAACTGCAGGCAACGGCTGGCACAAGCTGTCACATAAGCTACTACACAGTCACTCTTTATGCTGATGTTGACATTGTTTTTGGAAAGATTAGATTGTTTCTTTTTTTCCCATTTGGGGGGCAAAAAGGAAATTCACCCACCATCCTGTTAATGAAAAGTTTTCAATGACCACAGTGTGCTTTCCCCATGTGTATAAGAGCACATTTCTTCTGGCCAATGGACGATTCACACTGTCAATGTTGCATTCTCACAACCTCTTCCCGCAAATACTTGGCTTCATCAAAGCCAGGGAAAGGCTAACTGGGATTGTGAGTGCAACCTGAAGCCGTGGACTTATTCCTTAGTATGAAGCCAAGTGAGTGATGGAACCCTAACCCTAACCACGCCTCTCCATTAGCATCCATCATAATGCCAACGGAGGCATGAAACCAAGCCCTGTATTTGCCACTGGCACTAGTGGGCAAAGTGCAGCCGACCATACGCTGTGGGTCTATCTCCTTGGTGAGGCTGCAGATAGAATGGCTCAAACCTGCTTGGCTGTGTGGCTAATCTCTACAGCCAGATCCCCTCCGGAATTCCCAATGCCAATTATGATGACTCTTTTTCCAGCAAATGCCTCGGGGTTTTTATAGTCTCGACTGTGGAAATACTGTCCTTTGAACTTCTCAATTCCTGCAAGAGAACAGAAAATAATTATTGGATGATAGTTTATAAGTTGGATATCATTTGTAAAATCTTTCTTTTGTAGAATTTAAAGTTGAAGCACATATTCTCCACATATTCTCCCTTTATTCAGCTACTTTTGTCTTCTTGAATACTTTGGCTTATTTTTTTCTTCCATACCCTTGGAATAGTAGCTTGTGATTCCTGTATCATAAGGAGTTTGTATTTTGGATTTGTAGACCCACACATTCAAACTGCTGCCATTTTCTGTTGTCTTTCATCCCCTTAGTTACATACTCCCACTTCAATTAGAGTATATATGTTTTTGTATACTCTAGGAGATACATAAAGTACATTTTCTAAAAAAAAGTTCAGGCCCCAAACTGAAACTAAATTATTCAAGCTTTCATTTAAGCATTAGAAACTCAATATTTGTTTGTTTCCTCAATTACTGAGAAATTCCATATCTGAACCAATACTGAGTAAGAACTCCACGGTCTTCTTTTTTGATCCTAAGGAAAGATGGTGGAATGAGATGGACATCATTACCCTAGGTACATGTGTGACTGCACATGGTGTGATGCTACATCATATGCAACCAGAGAAATGAAAAGTTGTGCTGTACAATGAATCAAAATGCATTCTGCTGTCATATATACCTAATTAAAATAAATTAATTAATTAAAAATAAAAAAGAAAACCAAAGTCATTATGAAACTAAATACAATCATGTGCCACTTGAAAGAAATATATACATTCTGAAAATGTTACTGTAATTTTGGTCTCATCATTGTGAAAAAATCACAGAGTACTCACACAGCCCATATTGTACGGGCCAGTCCCTCAGTATAGCCTCTTGATGCCATCAAGACCCACAATAAACAGGAGGCCTGTGAAGCTATCGCTGGTGACATGGCAGACAGCTGTACAGTAAACTTTCCTAGAAGTAGTAGAAGCACACACTAAGAGAAATGTGTAGCTCAGTAATACATAAACCATGACAGAGTTGTTTGTCAGTATCACGTACCACACACGCAACTGTATGGGCTGTGACCTTGCACAATGGACCGCACACAGGGCTTTGTGCATCAGTGTCACCACGGTGTGGTACTGGTTAGGATACTACTCAGCAACAGAAGATCTCCAGTGCCCTTACCATCTTACGGGATCATCATTCTACATGTACTCCAACCTTGACTGAAATGTCATCATGTGGTGGCAGGATTGTTCACAGACCTCTAGACTCTAAAATCACCATTGACTCTGGTCTCCAAATGGCGATGATACAGGTCATTCCATCCTCAAGGGAACATGCCTAATGAGGGTCTTACTCCACCCCAAGGTGAAAATCACTCGGACCACAACCCTTCTATTCCTCAGGGTCACAGGCCTGGCTCAAGGGTCGCCTCCTTCCTGGAAGGTCACTCACCTGGAAAGCTTTCCAGGGGCAAGTGAGCGTTAGTGTGATGGCCAGTGCAGACCATGACTCCATCAAAGACATCAACCTCCTTTCTTCCTTCACACTCGGTGACTACCTCCCACTGTCCTGAAGTGGAAAAATCAGGCCGCTTCTTCACACTGCACACAGTGGTCTGAAAGAAAAGTGACATACACCGGGCACTTAACCACAGCCTGTACAGTGGATATCAGCCCTGATATGGCTTTTCCTGCAAAATGTTACACCACGGGCTGATACCACAGTGCCATCTCATCATTAGGGTCCTTGCAGGAGTATTTGATTTTCATACTCCATAAAGAACAGCCTTGTTTGGGGCCGTGGTCTGAGTGAAAAACCATAAGGCAGACAAAGTAAGCAGAGTTGACAGACCCATGTACTCTCCTCTGCTTCTAGAAAAGTAGAAATTGCTAGGACTCTTAGTCTCTACCTTGAGGCATGATAGCACCTGAATAAAGCCTGGATTTCTCCTGTACTTCTGTGGCACTCTGCACTAAACACCTGTCCCCCCTCTAACCCCAGACTCCCCAAACTCTCCGATGTCTTGTTCTCTTTGGCTAGACTTAAACTTGTGACTATGAGGCTACCTTTCCTGTTAGAGCAGGAACCTATCTCAGTGGCTCTTATTTTTTGTAAAGGAATCTCTGCCTTCTAAATATGCCCACTTCACAAGTTATTCTAAAGAAATAGGTTGTGAGATAGAGTAGTCAGTGGAATAATTTTTAGCTTTTCAAAAATAAATAAATAAATGAATATAGGTAACTCTGCCCAGCCAGGGAAACATCAAGAATACATTCCAGTGTGCCTCTAGGGTCTGGCTATGATGTCTTGGTGACTATAGAAGCACTGTCTAGGCTTCGACCGTCCTGTACCATTTCCAGTCCCTGCCATGTGTTTTCACACAAGCTGGTGCTTCTACTTGGTCACCCTTCTATTCCTTCTTCATCTGAAGACCCCTTCCTACTGAAGACTTGGCTTGGACACTGTCTTCTCCAAAAATCTTTCCTGGGACTTGACTCCTCGGCCCTGATGAGCTAAACATCCCCCTTCTGAGCTGCAGGTGTAGCCTCCACGGTACCTGTCACTTGGTTTGTTCCTTCTATGTATAATAATAATTTCCTTCATTTTTCTGCGTCCTTGATGTAGACTGTTAAGTTACTTATGGCTTCTGTCTTTGCATCATCACTGCTTAGTACAGTGACAAACTTGTTCAAGAAGTGTCACCTAAACAAGTGAAGAGAGGCACCACTGGGCTATAAATAACTGGCTTTGGAAATTGTCACCAGACGTTGCCACTTTGTTATTGTTGCTAAACATAAAAAGGTGGAAGGTTTGGACTCTGGGCCAGGTGATATAATATGGCCATGGTTATAAACTACGGGAAAGTCACAGCAGACTTTAGAGAAGGAAGGAATCTCATACAGTACAATCATCTTCTTTCACAGAAAAGAGAATCAAGATAAGTTCAAGTTGAGAAGTTACTTGTCTTAGGTCACTAATGAGGGGCAAGAACAAGGGCCAGAATTCAGGACTTTGTTTCCCACTTCAGTGTTCTACTCTCTCCACCCGATTCAACTCCTTTGCTTCCTCAATAACTTCCCAGTCACTAAGTACTTCACCAGGTTGTTGTGATGATCACATAAAATGATATATTGGAAAGTGCTTCAGAAAGTGTAAAAGAATTAAGCAAGAGTGGGCAGGTTGTGGGACAGGAGGGTTTCAAGTTCCCACACTTATTCATTCCCCTCATCTCCTTGATTGTAAGCAGGGAGTGTGGAATGAAGGCAATGAAAACACTCTGGCAGGTATCTTTCTGAATCTGCAGCCAGAATATGTAAAAGAGAGCTTTCCATGGGCATTTTAGAGAGAGGAAACCGAGAGTGGAGTCTTTATACTTGAGTATATCGCTCCGGTATTTACATGTGCTACTGGTTAATGAAACCACGTTCTTCACCTACTTGATGAACAACTTCAAACACCAAGACACCCACAAACTGCCTACCTTGAACTGGATATACTTTAAAAGGTTGAAGTCCTTGGCATACATCCTGAAGTACTCTAGGATCTGGGAATTGTGCATGGAGTTAGGGTAATGATCCGGGACGGGGTAGTCACTGAAGCACATCATCTCCTTAGAAGTGTTGATGATCACTGATTTGTAGATACTGGCTCTTCCTTCTTCAGGATTTTCCTGTAGTAAATAAGAACAACTTGAGAATTAATTTCATGATTTATAAAATAGCCAATGAATAGTTGAAGAAATTTCCTGAAATAAATGACAATTCAAACAAATGACACACATACATGGCCTCCACACCTCCCCCTGTTCTTGTGCCCCTGTGTAGTTCCTTCCCCTTGAATCTCAGTTATCTTTATGACTTGTTTTTGACCAATAGGATACAGTCGAAATGGCACTGAATGACTTTAAATTGTAGTCATGCTTTTTTCCAGAGTATCTAGAATTACAAATAGCCCTCAATAAATGTTTAATAAATGTATGTCAGATTGAATTGAGAAAGGAATGCATAGAAAAAGCAAATTTCACATAAAACATAACAAATTAATGAAATAAATAAAAATTTATTTCAAAACAATGTGAATGAGACATATCTGTCTCATTTTTGAAAATTTTAAAGGAAAATTATGGAATAATATGAAAGTCAAATGCAAAAAGATACTACTTTATATTATTTAAATTAATTATTATTTAATTAAGTTTGTATTAGTTAATAGTAACTTAAAACATCCCCAAATCTCTGAGTGGTTTAGTTATGTTACAGTATCTCAACATGAAGTACAGTCTATCTTTGACACTATTCCACAGGTATCCTGCTTAATACAAAGGACATCCTGTTACTCCACTGCTCATTGGCTTCTATTCCTTCTGGAAACCAACCTACTTACTCTAAAATTTAGCACTTTTCACATCTAGCCCATTATGGCTTTTAATCTTCATTCAGTGTCCCCTTAACAAATCCCATATTCCTGAGTCATTAAATTATTAGCTGAAATGATCTAGGCTCTTTCACAACTTAAAACTTTTGTGCATATCACTACTTCTTGAAAAATTCCTACCTTCATTCGAGTTATATCAAATGTTACTTTTTTGAGGAAGACTTTCCTGTAGTTCCATTGATCCTCCAAGTCCCCAAACCTTTCAATTCATATTGCTATAAAAGCAATGTAAACAGATTATATCATTCTGCATTTGTTTCCATGATTGTAAGGGATCTGAGGGTAGTGTACATGCCTTATTATTCTTTATATTTCTGTCAACAACGCAGTCCCTGATATATAGTGAATGATTAATGAAGGCTTAGGAATGAATTAGTTATATAATTATGAGAATGAATCTAGAGACACCAAAATTATGACGTCATTTCTTCCTAACTTGATCTACAGATGCAATGCAATCCCAATCAAATCTCTGCAAGCTATATTTTAGTCATCAACAAACTGATTCTAAAGTTTTTGTGGGAAGACAGAAGTCTAAAAATAGCTAATTTTGTCCTTAAGTATAGGCTGTGCATAATAAGCTTTCTTCAAAGAGTTGAGTATAGCAAAGCAAGAGAGACAAAAGGGATAAAGTTTACTCTGGCAAAATCTGACAAACTCCACTTCAGGGAAGGCATCACTATTAACAAAATAATGATAAGGCTTGCTGACAGAATGTATCTTTGAAATGATATAATGAGAGTGGTATTACCTTTTCAGTATTACTCTCAAAAACCTATAACCTCAGTAACCATGAGAAAACAGCAGACAAATCTCAATTGAAAGATAATCTAAAAAATACCGACCAGTGCTCCTCAAAACTGCCAAGTCATCAAAACCTAGGAAAGTCTAAAATAATTGTCACAGTCAAGGGGAGCATAAGGAGACATGACTATTAAATGTGAGGTACTATCCTGGATGGGACCCTGGAACAGAAAAAGGTCACTGAGGGAAAAGTAAGTAATTCTGAATGAAGAATGGGCTATCAATGTTGCTATAAGAATGCTGTGGGGAAGATACCTGTGGGTAGCTCCGAGAACTAAAAGACCAGCCTCTGTGGCCACCATGGCTTCCAAGAGTTTCTCCGCAGTCTGTTATAGATTCCATTCTATTTCCAGACTGACTCAGCATGGGAACCTACCAGTCAGTGAAAAGTGGAGCCTAAGGGGCCGGCTGGTCTGGGGTATTCAAAGCACAAGTGTACCAAGAACAAGACAAAAATGATAAAGAAAGAAAAGACCCCCTCAAAAACAAAAATCTCCACCAGAAGACTTCTAGGACTAATAAATTAAGCAAAGTAACAGGTTCCAAAATGAAAACACAAAATTAACAGTTTTCCTAAATAACCAATAATGAATTAACTGAAAAAAAAATCAGGAAAACATTTCCAACAATAGCTTTAAAAAAAAAAAAAAGCAAAAGCAAAGAAAAACAACTCTAGGAATAAATCTAACCAGGAAGGTAGAAGAGCTCCACAGTGAAAACTATAGTACACTGCAGGAAGACACGGAAGACTGCACTGCAACATGGAAAGACCTCCCTGTCCTGGGTGGGATCCATGTGTTACATGGTCACATTCCCAAAAGTAAGCTACAGATTCAGTGCGATTCTCATCAGAATACAATGGTACTCTTCACCCTCTAAAATTCACGTAGAAGAATATAAGACCCAGAATCTCTCAAGTAATGCTTAGCCATAAAGCAATGCTGGGGGCACCACAATTCCCAAGTTTCAAATCATACCTCATAGCTATAATATCAAAGACAGTGTGGTATGGCGTACAGACAGACATGGGGGCCAGGGGAACAGAGAAGGAGCAGACAGACCCACACAGATACGGTCAGCTGATATTTGACAAAAGTGGCAAGAACACAAGTTGGAGAAAAGACGGCCTTTAAAAAAATGGAACTAAAAAACATGATGTCCAAATGTAGAGGAACGGAACTAGGTCCTTATCTATCAGCTGCACAAAAGGGACTTGAAGTGAACCGGAAACTGAGGAAGAGGTCCAGTAACTCTGTAACTACTAAAAGAAAGCACAGAGTCAACACTCCAACATAGGCTCAGGCACAATTCCCTCAGACTCCTTGGGAAACACCCAAGGGCTGATACGAGGGAGGACATCCAGTTTCAAAGCCTCGTATGTCATAAGGAAAAGAAGTGTGGAGAGAGCCCACGGAAGGGGAGAACATCTTTGCCAGCTACTCTTTTGACAGAGGATTAATATCCCAGATATATAAAGAATTTTTAAAAACACCAAAAAATAATAACCCAGTTAATAAATGGGCAGATAAGCTAAACAGACATTTCTCAAAAGAAGAAATACAAATGAATAACTAATGTCTGTAAAACTGTTCAAAATCTTTAGCCATCAAGAAAACGAAAATCAAAACTACACCAAGATTTTGTTTCACTCTAGTTAGAAAGGTATTCATCAAAAATACAAATAATAATAAATGCTTGCAAGAAGGTGGGGAAAAAAGAAATCTTTATATATTGTTAATTAGTACAACCACTAAGAAAATCAGTATGGAGTTTCCTCAAAAGTCTAGGAATGGAATCACCATATGGCTCAGCGATACCACTCCTTAGTATTTATCCAGAAAAATTAAAGTCAGAATACTACAGTGATAGATGCATACCCATTTATTGCAGCACAATTCACAATAACCAAATTATGGAATCAGCTTAGGTATCCATCCACAGGTGAACAGACAGAGAAAATGTGGCAGACGTACACAATGGAGTTTTATTCAGTCATAAGAAAGATGAAATTATGTCATTTGTAGGAAAATGGATGGAACTAGAGAAAATCAGGCTAAGTGAAGAAAGTCAGACTCAGAGAGTCATGTTTTCTCTCCTGTGTGGAAGCGGGAGTGAAAAGGGGAGGGAAGGGAGTAGACCAGTGTGGTAGAAGAGGGGAAGGCAAGAGGAGGTACCGGGGAATGAAACTGACCAAATCATGCTATGTGCAGGTGCAGATACATCACACTGGATCTCACTGTTATGGATAATTATAATGGTCAATAATTTTTTTTCTGTTTCTTTTGTGGCACTGGGAATCAAACTCAGGGCCTTGAACATGCTAGGAAAGCACTACCTCTGAGTTATAGTCCCAGTTTGCCAATTTAAAAAAAATAAATAAAGGGCTGGGGATGTAGCTCGGTGGTAGAATGTTTGCCTAGCATGCCCGAAGCGCTGGGTTCAATCCCCAGCACCTCCAAAAGCAAAACAACAACAAAACCAGCTATGCAGTATAAGACTATAATATGGATATATGTTATTATACATTTATGCAAACCCATAGAATATGCAAAACCAATAGTGAACCTTCCTGTAAACCAAGAGCTGTGAATGATGGATAATCTGTCATTGATCGTAGCAAATGTAGCACACTACAGGGGGATGACGATAATGAGGCAAGCTGTGCACCTAAAAAGGCAGAAGCTCAATTTTGTATGAACTTAAAACTTATCTAAAAATAAAACATATTAAAGCATTTTTTAAAAAAAGAGGAAGGAGAGGACATGAGGGAGTGAGTTGGAGCTGAATGGGCTGGAGGGGTAGAAGGTACAACAAGGGGGAAAACGACTCCCACTGGGTGGGAGGAATGACGACAGCGTGGTCTTCTGTTTCCCTGTGGTGCTCCACAAACCCCACGCACAGGAGCGCTGTTTGAACGGTACTTCCCAGTTCTGGTGTCTGCACACTGAAATCAGATGGAGAACTGTTCAAGAAACGCTAGAGCCTGGGCTCTCCTCCTAGGAATTCTTCTGAGTGCTGCCTGTCTAACGTGACGACAAGTCTGAGAACTGCCAGTCAGAGGCAGTGTGCTGGCCCTGGAGAGCTCACAGCTACTTACTCCATCAACTGCAAGTCCTTTCTGCAATCACCCTCAGCTAAACCGCAAAGTGCCCGAGGGCAGCGGGAGGAAGTCAGGTCTCTGCATCTCCGCACCCTCTAGGGACAGTCTCAGCCCAGAAACGTGTGTGTCATAGATGACCACTGGTCTTATTGTAAGGACACAACATCATCCTCATTTAAGACCTGGGAAAGGTGCGGTAGAGGCTGTAAGGCCTTTGCCTTCACATCAGTGTGTATTAGAAATACCTAGCAGAGAGCTCCAGATCAACACCCAGAATCTCACAAGTGGCTGACATCCTTTCCTGTTAATGTTCCCCCAGGGATTAGTTCTTCAGTGTACAGCTGGACACTCCTCCCTCTTAAGTATTTTTTAATCCACTTATTGTCGTCGTCGTCTTCTTCTTTTGAGAAAGGAAGAACTATGAAATTTATATTTTTTAAAAAACATTTCATTTAAGGATGTTTATTAATTAATGTTCTATTTTAAATCAACACTGATTAAACAGCAACATTTTACATTCCGTGGTGTATCTATTGTCTATACTTTATAACTTTATTATGTGATGCAGTTATCTTATCAGCAGCATAAATATCACTTAGGGCTTGTTAGAAATGTGGAATCTTGGTATACCCTAAATTAATTAATCAGAATCTCCAGTAATTCATGTGTACACTGAAGTTTGAAAAGCATAGTTTAGCATGCTTTAATAATTCTTAAAAATCCAGTTTGACCAAAAAATAGCAATGATTATTATATAGTATGGAGTTAAATCCTCAGTATTTTGTAAGAAATTTATTACTTTTTGAAGCTATTGCATTCATAAGGTAACATCAAATAAATGGGTATATATCACATTAGCACCTACTTTCCACCATCAGTCTTATTTAATGTTAATGAAGAGATCAAGAGTTGACTGAAATTAATGTCTTGAGAACTTCTATGATTACTATGAGACAGTATTCAGCTGCACCAGGAGAAGGTTACACCAGTTTGGTAGGTGGAACATGAGAGGAAAATACAAATGGTGGTATCTGAGAAAACACTTGTTTGGCAGATAGAAAACAGAAAGGAATCACGGTAGGAAGTACAAATGGTACTATCTGAGAAGAAAATAAAAATATACTGAATCCAGGAACCTGTCAAAGAAAAGGGAAAACGGAAGCCCTGAATTCCCAGTGTTCTTACTGAACATCCCGCAGTGCAGGTGGAATTCCAAAGTGCTTAGACCAATTCTACATACGAAACCTCTAACAAATTATAGAAAAGTTTTGGGGGGTGGAGAGATAGCTAGACTCCAAATAACAAGCAAGGGAGTGATAGAGAAGCATGTCTCAGAAAAAATTCTCAACGTGACCACCAGCAGCAAGTAAGATACTTCAGTCCAACATTAAAGGATGTTTATAATACCTTAGTCTCCACAGCTAATTAACTGTGGAAAATGTGAGAAGGAGGGTCACCAGCACAGTAAACATTTTTAGTAGCCGCTGATGACAGTTTCCTTCTCAGGAATCCACATATTAAACATACATATATTGGGAAGCTAATATACACCAGGCATCCTTCTTGGTCTAGAATATAATGGTGAGCCCTATAGGCATGTCTGTGTTAAGAGAAGTCAGAGTGTTATGATGAAACAGTTTTCCCCCCAAGGAAGCAGTTCATAAGGTATTGAAATTTTGCCCAGAATAATGAAAAAAGTCCCCATGCTGTATTTTCAGCAGGTAATAATTTTAAATCACTTTAGAGATAAAAACCAGAAACATGTTAATCAGGAAGGATAATGGCTACCCTCCCAACATCATCTCTGCCTTACCTGATTTCATTCCTTTTTGGTAATTGCCAAATCCAGCTACAATGTGGGGGTCCCACTCTAGGCCTGAAGAATAACTGACATGTAGCACTATGCAGAACCAGCACTTTTGTAAGTGATTGATGTAATTATTCATCCACTTATTCCCCAAGATAAATGTTTAAGGTGGGTATTACTATTATCCCTTTGTAAAGATTAAAAAACAGTGGGCACAGAGAGGTGTAATGATTTGCCCAAGGCCATACTTCTTGTATAGGACAGTCTTTGAATCTAAAGCAGTGCTTTTAACCTGCACACTAGGGTGTGACTGGATTCCAACAGTAGAATTTTCTGTTAACTAAAAAGCGAATTAACAGGTTTTTCAGCCCACATCTGACTGATTCTGATAAAGGTATAGGGATTTGCTAAGGGGATCCATTGTAGATATGAATAAGAGTATTGTCAGATAGAATTAGTTCCCAAAATGAAGCCAAGATATAATACTTTTGTTCTACAAAGTAATGTCATAAGGCCACTTTTTAAATTTTATTTTTTTGTAGTTGTAGATGGACAGAATGCCTTTGTTTTTATGTGGTGCTAAGGATTGACCCAGTGCCTCACACATGCTAGGAAAGTGTTGTACCACTGAGCTACAGCCTCAGCCCAATCTACTTTTAAGCAGTTGGCCAACACTGTGTTGGTTTTTATGATGGGAAATATATCCATGGCACCTCAATTCCATTCACTGGTTCAGAAAATGAGTTTAAAAGCAAATCAAATTAGAGATCAGTGAAGATGACTGATATTTTTGGCACTTAATAGTTCTTTGTCATTTAAGTATATGATATTTTAAGTGGTCACTAACAAGTTGCAGGATTGGATGCATATTCAAACAATGTGACTCCACAGCTGCGTATATGCAAGGACATGGAAACCAAGGTGCAGGTGCTCTCTGCCCTCTGCTCTCTCCTGAAAGACAAAGGACTGTGAACTTCTCAATGCAAGAAGTTTAAAGCAGACAATTCTATCAGAGTTAATATTTTATTCAAGGACTAGAACTGTCAGAGAAATAGCTGGATTTTCTTAAAAGGAAAAATGAGGTTGATGACTGAAGGTGGAGGGTGTTCCTGGAAGGAGTTGTTGGCAGGTGATTCTAGCTCATTTATCTTTAGGACACATCGGAAGCCACCACTCCACATTTTCTAACCCCCATGTACTTTCTAAGGTGTGTGGCTTCTTACTCATTCTCCCCTCTTCTGAAAAACAGCAAAACTAATATAAGAAAATGTCCTCTGTGGATTTTATAAACAGTAGAATAGGGAAAAGAGTCACATGTGTGATGCTTTTGCAGCCCACAGAGGGAAAGAGAAAGCCTCATAAAAGGTGGGGTGGGGCTGTTAAGAAGCCAACAGTTTAGTCACTATCAAGCTCGCATATTACCTGACATGAGGTAGCATACTGCATGCACCCAGCTGCAAGGAGGGATTCTAGTACTCAGGGACACAAGACTGACCTGATACCTCCAGAGCCCACCAATGTCATCAGTCCTTTCAAAGCAAACAGGTTCCAAGTCCTCATCCAGACAGCACTTGATAGAAGAGAGCCCGGAGGCTCTTTTCTTGGTCATGGTCTTCAGAGATCTTCACCTGGCTAGGGCAATGCCACTTGTCCTGAAAAAAGAACAGGAGACAGAAAGCACACGTGTATCAACAGTTCTTAAGAAAGACAGCTGCCTTCACACTCAAATAAATGCTGTAACAAGAGGTGACTTTGGGTTGCCCTCTTTAGAAGGAAGCTCCTGCAAGGCCCAGAGCTGAGGAGCGCTGTGGTGTCATCTCACTCTCTCCTGAAGCACCTGGCTGACCCTTCAGCTGAGATCGGAAAGTTACTCTGGCTTTCTGCTGTAATGACAGAAACATAAACTCGGCAAGTACCAGCCCAGCCCAGGGGCAGGCACACCTGGCCCCACCGCCTTTCAGCCCACACCCCACCCGCTCATTGGCACCAATTCTCCCTCTCTTCACTGGAAGAAAATGTGGGTTGGACCTGCTTTGGACAGGAAAAGAAATCCTGTACAACTTGTGTGTTTTTCAGCTGCGGTTGTGGGCGGTGCCCTTTGACTCCCTCTGGAGAGAGGTCTTCTCATCTCCTGAGCTCCCCCACCGGCTGCCTCCACTTTTAACTTCCTGCTTTTCCCTTATAGGGATACACTCCTACTACTGAAGCCAAAGTGTAAACAACTCCCAAGCAAGCATGATGTGAATGCCTAAATGCGGAACAACTACATTCCTGGGCATCCATCCAAATAGGTGATCCTACCCTCTTCTCTGCCTCCTCCCCACCTCATGGCCTGTATCCTGGCTCTACCCTGCTGGTAGAAATTTACTTTAAAATCCCCAAGCATGTTTTAAAATGCTTTTAGCTGAACTCTAGCTGGCTTCATTTCAACTCTTTAAAATCTGGTTAAAAATAGAATCTTTGACTTAGACAATCATTTTACTCCATCAGGAAGATGCCTGTCCAATATATGGTCTGAATTATATTAGAATACAGTTAGCACACAATGGTGAACAGATGGTCTCCACATCACCTCGTGGGAGAAGGAAAGAAGTGAGGATCAAAGGTGGAGTCCTGTGTGTGTGTGTGTGTGTGTGTGTGTGTACATATGTATATACATACATATATGTGAGGGGAGAAGTTACCAGGGATTGAACCCATGGGTACTTAACCACTGAGCCACATGCTGTTATTTTTTATCTTGAGACAGGGTCTCACTAAGTTTCTTAGGGCCTCACTAAGTTGCTGAAGCTGGCTTTGAACCCGTGATCCTCCTGCCTCAACAACCTGAGCCACTGGGATTATAGGTGAGCACCACAGCATCCGGCAGAATGTTTGTACTTTTTGATATGGTTCTGTCAAAACAGTTACTCATCAAAATATTCCTTATCTTTCAGTGGACACATCAAGTTGACCCCATCACGTAATTCTTATTTTAAAGAGCTGCTATTAAATTTTGCTCTGGATTCTCTTCTCACTTTACTCCTGCCACACTTTATTAAAACCTTTATTTGGGGCTGGGATTGTGGCTCAGTGGTAGAGTGCTTGCCTAGCATGTGCAAGGTGCCTGGTTCGATCCTCAGCACCACATAAAAATAAATAAAATAAAGATCTTGTGTTTTGCTACAACTAAAAAAATAAATAAATAATTTTTTTAAAAAACCTTATTTACTAGTGTCTGTCCTCACAGATTACCACCAAACAGAATGCTTTTTGTCACTAAGTACCTTCCGTCTAATGCTACTTTCTCCTAGAAAGAGAAAGCAATGCTCTCTCTCTCGCTCACTCGCTCTCGCGCTCTCTCTCTTTTCCAGTTACTTAAATGTATCTCCTTTGAGGTTTCAGAAGAATTAGTTTCTCATTCCATCCCTCCCAAGACGTATGGTAGTAGAAGGGCCCAGGGATGTTTAAGAGTAGGACATCTCATATGCAACCATCAATTTCTATTACTGGGCACTGGAGAAGGCAGGCAGGTGTTCTTCCAGTTAATGAATCACTGGACCCCAAGGAGCTATATCTGAATCTGAGAGAGACAACTGCATGTCACCCAGACATACAATTTAAGTGGGGTGCAGTAGCCAGATGGGACTGGGGTTGTCTTCCTTGGGGTGGGAATGAGCATATCAATGAGAAGAATTAACATGGAATTTTAGTGGCTAGACAAGTAGCAGACACTACTGGATACCCATTAAAATGTTATCTCCTCCTCTTACTATATAATATATCCCTTTGGAATGGGATTTCCTAATGAGGAACTGTATTTTCCTGGTTCTTTTTGAAGCTATGCATAAATTCATTATTAAATTATCACCAAGGAACAGAAGAAGAGAAAATGTGAGCAACTTTGACCTAAACTTTTTAAAGAAAACATCTTGATCTAGTCTTCTACTCCTTCTCCTTTTTTTTTTTTTTTTGTTTGTTTGTTTGGAATGTTGATAACCAGACTTCTGGAAGCCAGGAATTGAAGTTGATAGGTTTGAAATAGTCAGGGACCTCCATCCATGGAAAAAGGACCCTTTAGGACTAAGGGATAGACACCTTAGGGGAAATAAGACAACCCAGCTAGCTCTCAGTCTTATGGGGTTAACAGTTGTACTAAAAAATTACAAGTTAAAAGTACACCAGTCTCAAGACCATGGGAGTGAATAACATACCAGGAGACAGGAGGCTGGGAAAGTCATCTCAGCCTCCTGAGACTAGGTGGTTAACACATAGGCCAGCTAGGCCAGACAAAGCAAGGTCTGCACTATTCTGAAAATATTAATAACAGTCAAAAACATGCAAAAATGTTCTTCAACATCTCTAACAATTACAGAAATGCAAATTAAAACTACGCTGAGAGTCCATCTCACTTGAGAATAGTAATTATCAAGAATACAAGTAACAGTAAATGTTGGTGAGACTGGGGGGAAAAAGGTTCACTCACACATTGCTGGTGGGACTGCAAATGGGTACAACCACTCTGGAATGCAGTATGGAGATTCCTCAGAAAACTTGGAATGGAATCACCATTTGACCCAGTAATCCCATGCCTTGGGTTAAATGCAAAGAACTTAAAATCAGCATACTACAGTGACATAGCCACATCAATGTTCATAGCAGCTCAAATTGAGAATAGCTAAGCTATGGAACAAAGTAGGTACCCTTCAACAGATGAATGGATAAAGCAACTGTGGCAACTGTGGTATATACACACAATGAAATATTCCTGAGCCATAGGAAGAATGAGACGATAGCATTTGCTGGTAAATGGATGGAACTGGAGACTATCATACTAAGTGGAATAAGCCAATCCCCCAAAACCAAAGGCTGAATGTTCTGATATGCAGATGCTAGCACACAATAAGGCAGGGAGAGAAAAGAACAGAAATACTTTAGATTAGACAAAGGGGAATGAAGGGAAGGGAAGGGATGAGAATAGGAAAAACAGTAAAATGAATTGGACATCACTTTCCTATGTTCCTATACACATATATGACCAGTATAACTCCACATCATGAACAACCACAAGAATGGGAAGTTATACTCCATGTATGGATAACATGCCAAAATATATTCTACTGTCATATATAACTAAAAAGAACAAATTTAAAAAATAAGTTAAAAAAAGAAAATATTAATGGCAGAGACTTTCCTAGATAATAAGTGCTCTAGGTGATGAGGGCCAAACACATGGGCAGAATGTCATTATTAACCAACAGTTACCTTGACCTTATTCTCATAGCCAAATGCACACCCAGCAGAAGACCTAAGGTGGAGACGCAAGCTGGAAATGAGATAGGAGATACAGGACACATGAAGAGGTGTGATGGAGACTCAGGCCCAACTGAAGTTCCACCTCTACAGGTGAGGACATTGAGACACACACACACATCTATGCACATATAGACACTTTTTGAAAATGATATGAATTAATACTTACATGAAAGTTTAGGAAAGATTTTAACCACCATGGAACTTATTTGGTTTGTAGAGTTTTCATGGCGGGGTTAGGAACCATCCGATCAGGCACATTTAAAGCTTCAACTCAGACACCACATCCATTCACATTCCAAAACAAAGGACATGGGCTCTGCCCATTCAGAGAAACAGAAAGCCACATGTCTAAGGGCTGGATGCACAATAATCCCACAGGGGAGACAGTGGATAGTTGGGAATAGGAATACAACCTACCAGAGTCGGCTACCCATGACACTCTGTCTGTTTACCTTCAGAGACCACAGCTGTGGGCCATGCCTGTGGACTTCCAAGCTAAGGAGATTACCATGGTACCTCGACCATAAAGGATAACTCTTGACCTCTGGAGTCTTTACTGGTGAGATGCGGGCAAGTTTATTTCCATCTAATGTGTTTTGGTCCTTCACAATATCCTGAAAATTCGAATTTGTTTATATATATATAAAGGTGGTCTCATTTAGTGTTCATCACAGTGCTAAAGGACAGCTCCCACTGTCCTCACTATGAATCACCATGCACCAGGGGCCTTTCAGATGCACTCAGGTTGTTCAGGCCCTCTGATGTTGAAGATTGTTTTACATGCCATTTTTGAGCATTTTGGCTTAACGTTGCAACTGTACCTCAGCAACACAGATACATGTGCAACAAGTATGTTCATTTTCAAACCTAAGACCCAGGCTTTGTGAAGTTAGGATATAAGACGGCTTTGGGTTCTTACCAACCCAGAGGAAGAGGAAGTCAGAGAGAGTTCTTAGGGTTTCAGTATAGGCTGAATCATGAGAATATTTTGGCTTCATGTAATTTTACTATTGATAACTTGCTGCTTATGTAGAAATTTGTCAGAAAAGTTCAGCACTAGTAAACAAAAGCTTCAGGGGCTGGCTAAGTGGATCACATAAAACCTTTCCTGCTGGACAGAGAACAAAAAGTGAAATCATTGTGACTAATTTGAAAACGTATTCAATTAGAGAGGAAAATAAAAGCTGGGTATGAAGGTACATGCTCGTTATCATAGCTATTCAGGAGGGTAATGCAAGAGGATTGTGAGTCTGAGGCCAGCACTGGCAACTTAAAATAAAATAAAATTAAATTAAAAGGGGTGGGGATGTGGCTTATTAGGAAGAGTGCTTGCCTAACGTGCCCAAGACCTTGGGTCCAATCCCAGTACTGCAGACAAACAAAAAAGGAAAACAAGAACTGTTCTGTCAAATAAGACACACAGGCAAGTTTCAGTGCAGAGCTATCTACGTCTCTGACCTATGTCCTCAAAGATTTATTTGAGAATATTTCAGTGTGTGCCCTTCAGTATAGGAAAGGAGCATCGATTCTCAGAGGTCACTGTGCCAGGGTGCTGTAAAGTACTTCTAGTTTTACTTAAATGTACATTCTTCTTAGTATATCATCTCAGGCTCTTGGGCTCTCTGAGTTTTAAAATTATTATATAAATTTGATGCCTAAGATATATAATTACATCAAAGTCAAATGTGGTCTTTCCTTTCTTGGGAGAAAGAAAACCCAAATTTCTTTCAACTCAGTGGAGGGCACTGACCTAATTCTAACCTTAGCCCAAAGGTCCAAGTTCATGTACGCAAGAAGAGTTCTGTACACGTTTTCCCTATGGCCACATCTTTTACTCAAGCTCCATATCTGACTCACCAGATGCTGCCAGCTAGTATCCTACTGTAACACAGTAAACACAGTGCAACACAGTGGACAGCAAACGCAGCCTCTTCACAAACCTGTGCTACAGTCACGCTTGTTTGGGTTGGGGTTGAAGATGCTAAGATCTACCAAAACATGATTTGGTCACTTATTGTTATTGTGTTGCTGTTGACCGAGGACATTTCTCTCTCTATGTGGAGAGATGAAACAATTAATGTAAGCATCATTATTGTATGACCAGAGCAATGAATGAAAAAGGGATTGAGCTAGATTTCATTCAGACAGTTAATACTGACTCGCTAGAAAATATTGAACAGGTTTTCTAAACTTTCTGTGCCTTCGTTTGCCTACGTGTTAAATGTCCTCTCTTGACCTCAGGTTATATCAATCAGGTCCTAGATTTTTCAATTCCTCCACAGACCCCTCACTGGGACATCTAACAGTATGTTTTGAGTGCTTCCTCAGGCCAGACACCGCTCCAGGAACAATCGAATACATCCTGAAGGTGACTTTATGGTCTTCCCTCCCTCACACCAGCTTCTCTCTCTTAGAAGTCCTCAGTGGTGGCATAAACATCCATATCCCAGGGCAGAAGCCTGTGGGAGCCCACCTCGGCCTCTCGCTCTCCCTCAGCCCTGTGGTCAACGATGACCAAACCCCTTCAAGTGCATCGTCACTATCTTTTTTCTCTCAGCACTAGAGAGTGAACCCAGGCCCCACATATGCTAGGTAGTTGAGCTGCATACCTTTTTACTTTGCAGACCTTTTACTTTACAGACCTTTTATCTTGAGAGGTTCCCACTAAATTGCCCAGCTTACCTTGAACTTGCCATCCTCCTATCTCAGCCTCCTTAGTACCTGGGATTACAGAAGTGCTCCATTGCACCCAACTCAGTCACCAATTCTTAAAATATATTTATTATCCCTTGCAAATCTTGTCTCAATGTCTTTGCATGTGTGATCTCTCTGCCCTAAACCTTCTTCCTCTGATTTCACAAAGCTGGCTTCTCATCATTCAGACTATAATTCAAATGTCATCTTTTTACTGATCTCCTCTTCCACCCACTCTATCCAGAGCTGCTCCCAGCCCCATTCTCACTATTGTGACCCTGTTTGCAATCTTCTTAGCAGTGTACTACCTTATTTGTATTCCCCTTTCTTTTTCTATTTCTCATCACTAGAATCTAAGCTCCATAAGTGCAGGGACCTTATCTAACATGTTCGCCTCTCTTCTAGACACTGGGGACATGACCAACGTAATCACACTCTATGGTACTCATCTGGCAAATGTCCACTCAGTTCTCTACCTCTTCCCCACCTGCAGCCAACACACACCATGCTGCTTGGTCTCATGTCCATCAACTTCACGTGGCCCTCACTGCTGCTTGGCAATGGTACCATATTCCTCTAGTCCATTCCCTCTCCTTTTTCCCCAGACAACTGTTTCACATCTTTCTGTCTTCAAACCTCCAACCCCTTCCACCCAAGCTCACCTGATGACACTGTTCCTTATTTCATTTGGACAATAGAGTCAGGCTCTCATATTGAGCCTGTCTGTGCCCACCCTCTACTTGTGCATTGGATCCCACCCCCTTCACTCCAGAACACTTCCTGGATCATTCCCATCAGCATCCAATTGCTCTAACATCACCCACCTTAAAATAAACTGCCCTTACTGCTAGTTATTGCTGCCAGTTTTCTGCTTCCTTTTACATCAAAACTCTTCCAAAGGGGTGAGAGAGTCTGTCTCCACCTTCTTCCCTCCCATCTGGTTTCAGTCACTGCGTCAGGCACTGGACTCCTTGCCAAGGCCACTGGCCATCATGATGTCACCAATTCAGTGCTTACTTTCTATCCTTTCTTCACCCCACCTCTTACCTGCATCTCAGGTAGACCTTCACCAGTGAGGCTCTACTCCTTTGTCCTTAGGGATGCCATTCCTTAGTGCTCATATGATTTCACTGGCTGTTCCTAGTCTCTTCTGCTGCCCTTCTTCTCGATTTCTAAATATTAGTTGACCAAGGATTAGTCTTTCTTATAGTTCCAGTCACACTCCTGAGGATATTAGAACCTAAGCTCCATCCTAAAATCATGACTTCCTTATTCATATGCAGTTCTAACCCTTTCCCCTGAACTCTAGAATAATCTATCCAGTTACCTATGCCAAACCTATTCTTGGGTCTCTGTAACTGTGTCACGATACTCTGTCCAAAATTGAATTGTTTTTTTCTCGACATGAATTCTTTAAAAAAAAAAAAAAAGCTTTCAATGTGTGTATTTTAAAATTTTAACGAACATAACAATACATACTTTCATATTTATGGGACACAGTGTGATATTTTGGTGTATGTATATAATGTGAATTAATCAGATCAGGGTAATTGATCTATCTATTACCTCAAACATTCATCATTATGTCATGTTAGGGACATTCACAATCTGTAGGGCATGATAGAAGAAAAACCATTTTGGGGGGCTGGGGATGTGGCTCAAGCGGTAGCGCGCTTGCCTGGCATGCGTGCGGCCCGGGTTCGGCCCGGGTTCGGTCCTCAGCACCACATACAAACAAAGATGTTGTGTCTGCCGATAACTAAAAAATAAAATATTAAAATTCTCTCTCTTCCTCTCTCAAAAAAAAAAAAGAAAGAAAAAACATTTTGGTGTGCCAGCTTTGGAGTATATGTGTGGTTTTGGGAAGAGCATAAGGCAAAATCTACTAAAAATAGATATTGAAAAAAGCATCCTGGCTACCACCTGGGTTTGACTCTTCTTTTGATATCCCATCCTTCTTCCTGTAACTTGCATATGGGTTTGTAAGTAAGCCTCAAGGTTTTTCACATTTGAAATAGGCCTCAATGGTGCTCATTAACATATCTATCCATTAGCCTCCAGGTGTGGGAGAACCATTGTGGCAGAAGTAAGGATAGCTAAACTGGAGTTCTGGATATCAGCTGTTATGGATTTGAGATATTGCTAACCCTGCATTTATAAAGCTCAGGAGGCATGAGGATGGTGGGTTGTTTCCCCCTCTTTTATATATATATATATATAAATCAGGGCCAATCCTGAAGGGGCCCTGGGGGGAATTTCCTTTGGAGGCTCTTTTCCACCCTCTCGAGGAAGGTGGCAAGATCCTTGGTAGCCCTCTGAGTCCCCACTGGCTCCTTGCTGGCAAATTTTTATGCTCCCATCCAAAGCTAAAATGTTCAAATTTTTCATTTCATTATTTTGCCAATTTGAAGGAAGCTGTTTTCCTCAGGCAGCGCTGGAAGGCCATTCTCTCTCCCTATCAATGTCCCCTGGCAACTTCAGAAGGCCCTGGGGAGTGTCCCAGATTCCAGCTGCCACCGGGCTGCCCAGGGAGCAAGAGCCTGTGAGATTGTGCCTCCAGGTTGGGTGGGTAGGTCCAGGCTTGGGCTGGCAGCAGTGGCGGCCAGGGACTCCGCTTGGCCCCACCCCCGGGCGGGCCTGGCTGGGCCTCTTGCCTGGCCAGTGGGCCCTAGGCCAGTGTCTAGGCGGGGCACCTCCTTTGGGTGACCGGGCTGGAGGGCACCCCATTACTAGTTTAAAGGCTTCCCCTCAATATCAAATTTGGACTTATAATCCTTTTGCCAAATGAAATCCCTTTTTACACTGGGGGCAGGGCGTCTTAGACGGAGTTTGACCTTTCCAGACGCCGGAGGACAGTTTCAGCCCAGGAGGACAGTTTCAGCCCAGGGCGAATTAGGCCCATCCTTGGAGATGGCCTCTTTTTGAGTCTTTTTTTTTTTTTTGTAAGAGGGCGGAGAATTTCCACGGGGAGAGGGATGACAATATGGTGGAGGCCGTTCCCCATCCCGACTGTCTACCATGTGTTCCGGGACAGGGGCAGTTAGTGTGGAATTTAGGGGACCAGGCCAAGGATTGGTGGAAGGAGGAGTAGGTGTCTTAAAAGGGTCTTTGTCGCCCCTAGATGTTCCTCTTGAGGGGCCAGGAGAGAAACAGGTGCTGAGGGCAGATAGTCCCTCAGAGGGGGGTCCTCTCCCAGGTTAATTTCCCTCTTCCTCACCAACTGTTCTGTGGGGTCCCAGGTGGCCCAATGCCTGAGGGCGGAGTGGGATGGGGACTCAGACGCCCGGGCGCTGGTGGGGCCTGCAGCGGGCCACAAGAAGAAACACCTGGGGCTCCTGCCGGCTGGCCTAGCTCCCTCTCGCAAACCTCTCCCTCCTCCTCCCCCTCAGCCATCAGCCAGGACCCCAGAGTGTCAAGGTTTCCCAGACCTTTTTGGCCTGCGCATCCAAGATCTCTGAACCTCGGCTTTTGAGCATAAGAGCTGGGTCCTTATGCCTAGTGTGAGACTGCCCCATCTTTCCAGGGTTACCCTTACCTGGCTTGGCTCGATACTCTCACCCCCGCGTGGGGCGCCAGATGTCGGGGGTTTAGCCTCCCTGTTCCCTCCTGACCTGTGGGAGAGACTGGGAGAGCCCGCCCCAGCCAGGACAGGCCAAGAAAGGTACAGGTCGGCTGGCCGTCTGCACCCAGCCCTCCCTTGCAGGAGGACAATCAGAAGCGCCAGGGAGAACAGTCAAAGCAGGATCTCGTTTAACGAGAAAACACACACAGCTAACATGATGTACAGGAGCCAATCAGGGTAAAGGTCAGCAGGGTGGGGAGAATTTACATCTTCACCCGTCCTACAGGCAGTAACGGGAGACAGGAGCTGTCCCTGAGGGCAGAAGGGTTCTGAGCCTACCCTAGAGGTGGTCCCATTCTTCATCACAACCCACGGCCATGCCTTCTGGCTAATCGCCAGGTGCTCTCTTAGTCACCTGTGGCCCCAGGACCGGGAAGCGGGTAGCAGCCAGCAAGTTAAGTTTCCTCTTTTCTGATGCAACATGCCCCACATTACATCATGCCCTACAACAATCCTCTTTACTATTTTGAAATATTCAATTAATTACCATCAACATGAGAACCCCACTATGCTAGAGAGCATTAGAAGTATTCCTCCCATCCAGCTGGACCCTGTGCCCATTAACTCGCCTTTCTCCACCCCTTCTTCTTCCCAGTTCTACTCTCTACTTCTGTGACATCAACCTTTTCAGTTTCCACATTAAGTGAAAATATGTGGTATTTGTCTTTTTTTGTGCCTGACTTTTTTCATGTAACATAATGTCCCTAGGCTCATCCATGTTACTCTAAATGATAAAATTTCATCTTTTTTGGGCTGAAAAAACTTCATTGTATATATATGCCCCATTTTCTTTATTCATTTATCCACAATGGGCACATCTTGGCTACTGTGAAGAGTGCAGTAATAAGCTGGGGAGTGATATCTCTTTCACATACTAATTGTATTTCCTCTGGATATACACTCTATAATGGAACTGCTGGATCATATGAGAGTTGTATTTCTAGTTTCTGTGTGTGTGTGTGTGTGTGTGCGCGCGCACGCGTTTGATGAGCCCCAGAGTGTTTGTCTTAATTGCTGTACTAATTTACATTCCTACCAGCAATGTATGAAGAGTCCCCCTATTTCTGCATACTTGCCAGCACAAAAATGAATATTGATGTCCCCAAACTCTTTGCTGCCTTCCCCCTTCGACATGGTGACTCCATTCTATCAATGCCAAATTGTTGAAATCATCTTATATTCTCCCATTTCCTGCCAATGCTCAACCCGTGAATCTTCTAGGCATTACCTGTACAATATATCTATTCATCACTCCACTACAACCATGCTGGCCCCCCAATTATCATCTTTTGCCCAGACTATTGCAATAGCCTCCAAATTGAACTCTCTGCTTCTCCCCTGCCTGTCTCTACAGTATTCAGAGTAAAACTTTTAAATGTGTTACCTGACTTGCAGATCTGGAGTCTCTTGGCTACATTTCTCAGCTATATTTTAGATGCCAGACTCAATATATCAGCAGTCTACTTAGCTTAGAGCTAGGGCCCTATCTCTGAAATATACTTTAAGTTAAAAAACAATAAGCATCCTTTTGTTTAAGTGGAAGGTGGTTGATAACATTGCTTTAGCAGATAAATGTAGTGCATTAAAATCTGGAGGGGAGGAAACAAGTTAAACAAAGAATAGGATGCAAAAAAACACTGAGAAGCAGTTTAATAGCCAGAGAGTCTTTCAGAGAAGCCACCAAAGGATACCAATCTATGGTAAGGTTTTGAAAAAACCCGCAAATAGGAAAATAAAACAGGGACTTAGAGAGGCTGTCTTTGCTAAAAATACCTGTTTCTTCAGTTGGGTTTGCCGATGCCTAATGTGTAACTAAAAGCATGATAAAGTTTGGCATCTCTTCTTCATTTTGTATTTGTCTGTTTTACTCCCTTATTAAACTTTGGGTCTGCCGCAATCTGGCTGGGCACAAATCACGAGCCACTCAAGCAGGAACAAACTTTATTTCCGAACTCCACCAGCACACTCCACACACACTCCCCGGGAACCTCTCCTGATCGCCGCCCACGCGGCTCCTCCAGGCACACACCACACCAACCGGAAATCCCTCCTCCGGACCTTCCCCAACCAATGGGAACTCTCCAGGAATCCCCAGGAGAACTCCAAAGTAGCAGGCCTAGGCGGACAGCAGGGGTCTAATATACAATTGAATACACAGCTTAACATAACCATCATCATCTCAATGGCTTGTTGGCCTCACCACTCCATTCTGGCAAAAATGCCATGGTCATTCCGACTCAGCTATGGCTCTCAGCATGGGTCAGATTCCTGCACGATTCTGGGTCATATGGTAGTTCTATTTCAAGTTTTTTTTTTTTTTTTTTTTGAGGATCCCCACAGCATTTCCATAATTGATGTACTAATTTATGTAAGTATAAGCATATTAATCATGTAAGTAGTATTCATCTAAAGCTGATAATATGCTTTCTTTAAGGCTGAAGACAGGAAGGTGTGAAAAATTAAGATATTTTCCACAGCCAGCTTGCTTCTACTTCTGGGCCTTGGAGTGGTGCCTAGAAGTCTTCAGTTTTTACCCCACATTTTCCACAAACAGTGAGTCTTACAGGCCGATCAATGGTGAAGAGACTGCCTTCCCTCAGCAGCAGCAATAGAGTCCCATGGGAAGTGAAGGCCCCCCATTCCAGGATCACAGATCTAATAGATAAATATCCTATGAAGCAAGTGGACATTGCCCGTGAACAGCTGGCAATGTCCTCAACACCAATAAGACTCGGTGTGATCAGAACTCAAGAGAATGATAAACCACATGACAGTTTACCAGGACTGCTTACTACACGTCTGTCTTGGTTCCTGTACCAGTTCTTCCTCTATGTAAGCTAAAGCTCTCATCAGTACCTGAGAGACAGGACGGAGACATTGACATCACTTGTCTTTCCAGTATAGGTACATTGATGAAAGTTCCTTTTCCCCATTATTTTTTCCATTTGGTTTTTGGGGAAAGTGGTCAGTTCTGATTTGTTAGGACCCCAGAGTTAGGCCTCTGGCCCAGGACTTGGGTAACAGGAAAGGTGCTGGACAAAATCAATGTAGCCCTAAGATGTGACACTGTTTTACTGTCTTAGCATGGATCTTAGCATTTACCGCTCTCTTAGCATTGATGGCTATCTGGTTTTTATTTACTGCCTTTTTTTTCTTTTTAAAGTATAGCTCCATGAGATTAGTGGCCTCTGTCTCTAGTGACATAAGTGGTTGGCACATGGAGTAGGTGGCTCAAGCAGTATTCATGAAGACTCAAGACACAAAATCAGCTTCATAAGACCATGCTTTGTTGGCGTCTCTGCGAAAAACCAACCAAATGTAACTCTTTTGTAGTTTACATGTTTTTATTTATCAAAGGCCATCGGAAGCACCAGGATTAACTTATGTGGAAATAATACTCTGGTAAAGTTACTTAGGAAAACAATAGCTTCTGTTCCCTGTTTTGCTGATTCAAATTCCAGTTACAATAAATAAAACCTATTTATAAGGTTGTTGTGTTAAATAAGAAAATGTGTGTGGGCTCCTAGGGCCGCACCTAGGGGGTATGGGGTAGGTGCAGTGACTTTGTGGTTATGGTAATATAGTACTAGTGGTAAACTACATCATGGGATCACTCACTCCGAGGCTGGTCACCCTGAAGCTAAGCGCCCTTGAAGTGCCCCTGGCGGCAGCCACATTTGGAGGCTTTCGCTTGGCCTGCAGCTAACCGGGAACAGCTCAGGGGGCTTCAGAGTCCCGCCCAATTTACCGCTAGAGTCAACAGAATCGAGCTGACTCCTGAGAGCAGAGTCGCCACCCAGGGCTCCAGCCAAGAATTCCAGGACTGACCTGGTGGCGGACTCCCAGCAGCTCGCCACAGACGCCCCCAGCGGGCGCCCCCTGGCGGCTGCGCGGCGCTCCCACAACCCTGAGCGGCGCTCCCAGGGTCCTCCGCGGCTCACAGGAAAGGCTGCGCACGCAAGCGCGCGGGGCGGAGCCTCTCGCCGCCAGATGGAGGGCAGCGTGCCGGGCTTCTTAGTAGCCCTGCAGGCTAAGGGCCGGCCGGAGGCGGTGAGGACGCGGGTGCAGGAGCAGGACTTAGGGCAGTGCGGCCTGACAGGTAAGTGGGCTGCAGGAGAAGGGCCGCCCAGACGCGCCACCTCGTGCACCCCAGCTTTTCGCGAGCCGGGTCTCGAAGGAGGCTTTCCCGCGGGCGCCGGGGCTTCCCCTCCGCCGGTAGGGGGTGGGCGCTCGCGTGGTGGGCGGAGCTCGGCGCGAGGCACTTCCGGGTAGCCGGGCGGTGGGCGAGGAAACGTGCCCGGTGGGGCGCCAAGCCCGGGTCCCGGCGGTCCGGCTGTGCGGGTGGCGCTGCGGTCGGACTCTCCTGACGGAGCCTGCGCGCGCAGCCGGTGGCTGGCCGCTGGGTGGTGCTGCTCCCCGCGGCCTTCGGGCCACGCACGCTCGCGCCGTCCTGCGCGGTCAGTCGGGGTCCCGTCCTGCCCTCGGGTGCGACCGCAGCGACCCTCGCCGGCCTCCCCTTCCCCGTTCCTCACGGGAGCCCCGGACGGTCGCGGCGCCCGTGGGAGGCGGAGTCGCCGTCAGTCGTCTCACGGGAGCGCTGCTGGAGCGGGGGCCGCGCCCGAGGTTCCCGCCCGGAGAGCGGCGCTTCTCGGCGGAGAGCGCTCGGCCCGCCCCCGCCTCTGGGGTCCGACCCGCGGTTGCGGGGCTCTCGGGGGACGAGGCGCCGTGCCGCTTCCCTCCGAGCGTGGGGCGCGGCTGGTCCGCCGCCGTGACCCGGAGAGACCTGCAGGGGCGCCTCGGGAAGAGCAGTCGGGGTGTGAACTGCCAGGCGGCGCAGGGAGGAGGGGGACCCGCGACCCAAGGGTCGCCGCGGAGCGGGGCGACCCGCCGCCCTGTTTGTGAGCATCATGGGTATTGGGGAACCTGTTTGTGAGTTGATCCCAGCAGTAGTGTGTGTGCCTTGTAAAACATTTGGGGAAATAGCGTTTGCTTTGGGTTGGTTCCTGGATTCCGGGTCCTGGAGGGAGATGCCACCTGAAG